TTAAAATTAGTTTATCACTTTGAAAACCCATTCATATATTGAATTTAGTGATATTTAAATAAAATATTCGATTGTTTTTTTTACCACATATTTTGAAAAGTTTTTCTCAATAAAAAACAAAATTTGATCTTTTTAAAGGCTTTAAATTTTATTTAATTTAATATGTCTCCATATAGTTACACTCGTATAAACCAAAAGCAAACAACGCAACAATTTCTCGAATTATGGATTATACAGTCTTGTTAGATAATATGTGTCATTTTTGTCTTTTACCATTACAATTAATACCTTGCATTCATTTTGATTTTTTTCAAGTTTAAAATTTCATTAACCATTTCTAACAAACTTTTGAAGATAAAACTTGACAAAAAACAAAGTCGATGTTTTATCTTTTGACATCAATAATGATATTCAGATATTTTTGATTTAAAGCTGTCAACTAGTCCAAAAGATGTTTGTTTTTATAAAAATCTTTTTCAAAGTAATGGCCATAATCCTCAATTGGCCAATTTGTATTGGCAAATCAACACATGTTTTTAAATGGCTGTTTTGATAATGAGAAACGATACCCACCCTATTGAACAACTAAAATATTATTTGGTGTGTTGCAGATAGTTCAAGTGAAATCAACAATTTCATGAGTAAATTTATGATACGTTCACTCATTTAGTGTCGATATAACACATCTCTTGTTGCATCATTTGTAATGTTGTTGTGTGTATATTGACTTTACTTAATTTTTTTATTGCAGATGACAGAGATGTTTTATTCTGTCGAGCCAGTATAAACATAAACAAAACGCCATTTTAATGTAAGAGTTAATAAGTTTGACGGTTCAACGCTTGTTATAAACACTGGTGTGCAAACTGAAGTTTTCTTTATACAAATACCAAACATGCACACGTTGAGAAGCTGTGTCAAATGCAACATATTTATTTTGAAAGCTTTTCTTTTAAATATTCAAAGTTTTATTAACAAAAACCATTTAACGTAATGACTGATGGTTTTGTTGCACTTAATTTGTAATTAAGCTTATTTGACATTATGTATTAAACCACAATGTTTAAACAGTTGTTGGTCAAATTTCATTTATTTAAAAAGCTTGTTGTTTTTTAAAATACTTAATCATATTTTACTTTTACATTATTGTTAATTTAGAAATATAATAAATTATTTTACCATAAAAAGAGTAGAATAATAGATTTGAAAATAACAATAAGATATTCATATTACAGTTTATTCACTTCAATACAGTCATTAAACAAAAAATACATTATACATAATAAATGTGAATAATAAAACATTGAAAATATTAAAAAACTTACAAGTTTTTAACATTTGTGTTGTTTTTTAAATTGATATAGCAAATTATAAGATTGATTAATTATAATTATTAAATCATTCATTTTGCTATTTTGTGTTCATTTGAGTTTGAAGATACTCATAACTTATTTGTATGGCCTTTTCAAAAACTGAGTTAACGTTACTATCATTCATGGATGAACATTCGACATATCCACATGCTCCTATATCTTTTGCCATTTGAAGACCTTCTTCTGTTGTTATTTTTTGATGAATACTTATTGGATATTTACGTTCTTCTTTTTCATTTGATTCTCTCAAATCACTTTTAAGGCCAACCAACAATATTGGAATGTCTCGATTTAAGCGTTTGATTTCTGGCAACCAAAGTGTTTTAAGACTTTTAAAAGTGTCCAAATTAACAATTGAGAAACACGGGACAAAACATGTGGTATTTGGATAGCTTGATGGAATTAAACGGTATTCTTCTTGTCCGCCTTTATCCCATATTTCCATGTTAAATTGAATATCGTTGTAAGTCACAGTCACAGTATATATTTCTGTTATAATGGGGATATATTCACAATGAAATTCACCAGTTCTGTACTTGGTAATGAGACTCGTCTTGCCAACACTATTTTCCCCAATGAATAGTAATTTGATTTTTTGGTTAATCATTATTGATTTTATAGTTTTAAAAGGTAATTTAGTTGGGGTTTTCCCGTTTTCAAAATACAATAAAAATGAATTAAAGTTGTTTTAAAATGCCGCCTTGTCCGCCAATTTTGTTTCATATTAAATAATAAAGAAACAATATTTTAGAAGTTTGGTTATTGAAAAAAAATAAAAACTTGGGAAAAAAAGAAAACAGTGCATATTGATATATTAAACATTTTCAGTGTTTTTAATTATAATTGAAAAACAGAAAAACGTTTTCATGTTAGTAATCTAGTGATTGATCACTTTTGCGACAAATAGACTTATTTGACAATTAATATAAAGATAAATAGATACCTTTCACCCTATATATAAATTTAAATTATTTAAAATTAAAAAATGATTTTATATTTTATGAAACACATAAAAAAACAATTATAATTTTATTAATTAATAAACTTGGACAATTAAATAAGATCGTATCCAATAATTTGATGATGATACGCATTTACATCATAGTACATAGTCGTGTGGATTGGATCTGAATATCCACAAGTAGTACAGGTACAGCAACATATTGTTTTCACACATCCGCACCAATCAGGGCACAGCAATGGGCACATCTCGTAACTAGTAATAAAACAACAATTGCAGTCACTGCACAACAACACACACCCAACTAACACTATAACCGGCACAAAAGCTATAATATAAGACATTCCACTTCCTCCAAACGCGATTTGGTATATCAGTGTAAAACACGTTGAAAAGACAATTGATGGAAATACGCCACACATGCACTCAAATCCATTTATTATAACACCCAATTCAATATTACCACTATAAATGTGCCCATCACAGAAGTACTTTTCATCTGTTCCATCATCAAAATATTTCATAGAAATACACACAAGAATTGGAAATGCGACTAAATGGTACAAATACCAATAACAGAAATACAAGCAAATGGACACGATGCCACTCGAGTAATTTAAACTGTTTGGTGACGCCATTTTAACAACAAAAAGAGTCAGAAAAATAAGAAGTGGGACATCCTTTATTATAGCTTCTGAAAGTGCATACAGTGATATTGAACATATTCTACGTTGGTTAATGTGAACCATCTGATGAAAATTGTTAATAACAACTTCTTTAAAATGTAAAATTCGGTGTAACAGTTCATTGATATTGAAATGCACTCCACACGACAAAATGGTGATCAAATGATATAAAAGTAGCGGCAAGACAATATAATAAA